GCCTTGGGCACTGGCCGGCTGAGGGTGGAGATGAAAGCTGGGTGCCTGGCACGGCTCCTGATGCTGCTGCAGTAGCCCTATGCCATTCCTTCCCTTTGCACTACCAGCGCCAGTGCTGGCACGCAGATGGCACCGGCGGAGGCTTGGAAACTTCCTGCCCCAACGCAGAGAGGGAGAAGCCCCTCCTCGCCTCCCCCAGGCCCCCTGCCCTAGCTCTCCCATGTGCCGTGTGCCCCGTGCCAGGTGCCTTGCCCTCCACCAGGGATTGGCTCCTGACGAAGCCGGCTCAGGGCCCCCTTCCTGGCTTCTGCTCACCGTGGCGAATGGCGAGGAAGGGTAGCACAGGTTGCGCTCCAGTAGCAACATGCCCATAATTCACCAGCACTGTTGGGGCGGTGCTGGCTTTGGCGGCTACGGGCCAGGCAGTGGAGGGCACCAGCAGGGGCATCAAGGCTCCAAAGAACAGCGGCAGCGGCGGCTCAGCCAGGCCTATGGATGGGGTGGGAGAGGAGCTCTCGGCTGCAGAATCCAGAGCCCATCTCTGGGGAGCCGCACTGGGCTCCCTCGGAAAAGGCGCCCCTTCCGCAGCCCTTCCTCCGGGCTCCTGGGCAGGGGCGAGGTTGGGGGGGGCGGAAGGCTGGCAGGGTGCCCTCAAAAGCTGCCGCACTAGGCAACAGCCTAAGTTACCTTGCCTCTATGGGAGAACCGGTCCTGAATGCAGAGTCCTTTTGGCGGGGAGGTGCAGTGGAGCAGCAGCGGGTGGCAATGGCACGTGCTCTGAGTGCTTGTTACCGCTTCTTCTTCCACCGAGGGTGGGGCAGAGCAGGGCTTTTGGCGAGGGAGGGGTGGGGCAGCGATGGCCGGGGAGGGGAGTGGTGGGCTCGGAAGCCAGCCGAAATGCCGTTCTGAGGCATTCTGGCCCCAAAATAGCCCTGGTCCTCTTTTACTTGGATTGCTGCAGTTATAGGAGGCTATGGAATGGCTCAGGAACAAGCCAGTGATACCAAATGTTAAGTCGCGAGCTTAACAAGAAGTTGGAGAGTGATTTCAGCAAGAATGCGGTTTATTTCTTCAGCTCAGTTACTTCTCCAACACGGTACAACAATCGCCAGCCAGAACCCATCAGAGAGCAATACATACACTGGCTTGTTCATATTTAAACACTCCCGGCTAATGTAGCCACACCCACTGTACAGTAATACAACCTATGAGGTTGAAGAGATAACGTCCAATCAGG